ATACAATTTTTTTTGAAGTAAGAAGAAAAAGCCAAAGCCCATGTACTGATCATAACGAAGCTGAGAACCACATAGACTCAAGAAGCCATGAATAAAAGTTTGGAGCTACATAGTCTCAAAACACATAACAGTCACGAAGGAACCAAAACCCTAAAAGCCACAAATAAAAACCCTAACCCATTTGTATAATTCTCTCTTCTTGCACATAACAAGATCCATGCTCAGCCAAAAGAAACAGCTCTTTCACGCTTTTTTTCCTCTTCATTTTTTGATGAGTAAGAAGAGCTCTTCCATCCTTATTCTTTCTTCTTTACTTTTCCCTATTTTTCTTTTCCTTTTTGACAAGTAAGACCAGCACATACATTCAATGCCACAAAACGCACCACGAGAACTCCCACCATCGTCAAAGCATTAGAAGTACCACCATTCGATAACAAACATGTAAATCAACCCGAAAACATGTACAGAGGGTATACGACCAAAGGCAACTTAGCAGTCAAGTGAAAGAAGAAAACCAGTTATTTCCTCAATAAAGGTTTCAGTAAATGGTAGGAAGAAATATTCTAAAACACCCATGGAAGTCAAACATGTGCAGTAAAAAAAAATATCTGAGAACAATTTTTGGCTTATATCATTATTTTTTCTACCACTTTCTTCTTTAAGTGTTTTTATTAAATTTTTTATTGTAATTTTAATTTATACCTCCCATTATATGAAATCAATTATTCGATTTTCAATATTTTGTTTTATGCGGGTTTTCTTTATTTGTTTCCCTTTATTCCTCACCTCCCCCCATCTTTTTTTTTTTTCTTAAATGTTTTGGATAATTCAGTCGAACTGACTAAGCATTTAGGTGGTAAGTCTTACCCTAATAATTACCTAACAAAATAATTTTACTTTTGATTAATGGTCCGTTCAAAATTGTCCTTAATTTACCGGGTCTTCAAAATTGTGGCAAATGATTAGACATTCAATCCCCATTAACTATCTAATCTAAACAATGGCTGAGTACTTGTGGCTTATTTGGACCATTCATCCTACTAAGGTGCATTCTAAACAATTAGATCCTCTTCCTAGCAATCTCTAGACCAACAACATAATTGACTAGCCCCAGCTAAACTACAATTATTGTCCCTCCCTGTGAGCTTCCCATGAGCATGGCTCATCTAAACCATTTAAGGCTTCACATACTAAAACTTGGGAAACTTATCATAATTTATTTAAGAAATGAAGTATTTAACATTTTACCTATTTTTTATTTAATTTCAAATTTATTTTCGAAATATACTTAGGAATAGTTGAAAATGTTTAAAATATTAATTAGTTAATAAATTAAGTATATTTTGATAAATTAAGTTTTGGTTTATTTGTAATTCGTGGGAAATAGGGAATCGATGGAATGGCCTCTTGCATGCACTAAAAGGACGGGTAACCAAACTAGTTATTTACCATTACATAAATATAAAATGGAAAACACAAACAAATAGAAAGGAAACCTTTTTAGGTTTTAAAATTTAGGGAAATTGACATAAAGAAGACATTTTCTTTTGTAAGAATTAAAAATAGTCCCCACTTCTTCAAAGTTTACTTCATGGTCTTTTGTTTTGTCAATTTTTATTTTTTCCAAATCACCCCAAGCCCGATACTTAGTACCAGATTACATTTGGAATTTTTTCTTTAAGTACTTAGCCTGGCATATACTATTTCGTCCAACACTTCAATTGCTAGATCAATCTTTGACAAATTTTGTGTCAGGAGTCAATTCGATTACTTGGGAGTGTTGGACCACCTTTTTTTCTATTAGGCATTTCAACTGCCAAACTAACTAAGCCAAAGACAAACCAAATTTAAATGAAGGGCCCGTCCAACTTTTGAGAAATGAGAGAGAGAGAGAGAGGGTGTTAAGTGTTGTATAAAAGAGAATGCAATCTAACATGCCAAGTGCCTGACAAATATCTGCAAAGGCTACCCCAATGCTTGGAGTTCTGGCCAAACACTATTATAGAGAAGTCGGTCCGGTAATTAAAGTGTTGGACCGAGTTGTCAAAGACAAGTTTAACATGCGATCTCATCATTCAAGTGGTTTTGGGAAAACAATAAAAACTAAGAAAAAAAAGGTTCTCAGCATAAAATAGTGAAAATGGTGAATGCTTTTAATTTTAAAATAAATAAGAATTTCATGCCTTTTTTTTAAAAAAAAATTACTTGTTTATTCCGAGTTCATGATCACCGTGGTTGAGATTATCAACCCCTAAACAGATCCAAAGTTCATCTAAAATAAATTTTGGAGTGTTGGTACATGTAAATAAATGAGCAAGCTCACTAATCAATCAATTGGGAAAAAGTATTTGATGGGTTAGGGAATGCAAATATTGGGTTGTGCCACGGTATGCATCAAACATCCATCTTTAAGATGAATTACACAAGAAGGTTTCTTGCGAAAAACTAAAGGACAATCTTTCTATGTTTCTCCTACAGCATAGAAGTTCTATCCTTCCCCTTATCCAACCATCCATTCTGAATGAAGGGCTAAGATTGCCCCAATCACAATGTCACGTCTTCACACTATTTTATTTTTAATTTTTTTTGTATAAACTATTTTGACACCAAAATTTGGATGTCCATTTCTCTATTAAAGTCGCACTAGTGAAAAATATAAAAATATATTTTTAATAAATTAAAATGACCAAAACACCCTAAAAATTTTAAGTGGTATTTTGATCATTATATTTTTTAGAAAAATTATTTTTAATATTTTTTAAAGGTGTGCCCTATTGAGAAGATGGCATGTACCAAATTTCATATTCATACAATTTGTATAAAAAAAACTAAAAATAAAATACTTTGAGACGTCAGATCTAAGATCAAATAGCGAGTGACTCTGTTGATCGAAATTGGACGGCTGGATGGTAGGGGGAGGATAGAACTTCTATGTTGTAGGGAAAGCATAGAAACCTTTCCCAAAACTAAAATGGATGGTATGAAAAAACTTAAAGAATATTATTTTTAAGTTTTAAAATTTGTTTGTCTTTCAGACTTCATGATCATAGTGGTTGAGATTATCCACTCCTAAAAATTTGGATCCAAATTTTTTTTGAGGGATAACTATCGAAAAGAAAAATGAGTTGATGCATCAAACATGTCACTTGGAAAAGTATTTGATGCATTGTATGTCCGTCTTTTAGATGAATTGCAAAACATCTTCTTTGACCAAAAGCTAAAGACGACAGTATATAAAATCAAAACATTAAAAAATTTTATTTTTTTTTATTTTTTGAGAAATTTAGTAAAATATCCACTAGAGATGAATTATTCAACATTCTACCCTATTGCAACTCAAGATTACATAACTTTTTATAGGTATTTTGAAATTAAAACAAAATATATGAATAAGATGTCAACTTAATTCTCTTTTTGTGGGTAACTTGATAAATTCCCTTTTATTTTTTTAAGAATTCATGGTCACAATGTTTGAATCCAAAATCCATCTCTAAGCCCCTAAGATGGATTTTGGCTGGGCGATGCATATAAATAGATAAATTGGCTTACTCGTCAAAATAATATCCATCATTTGGAAAAAAGTAGGATGCATCCCATGATGCATCGAATGTTCATCTTTAAGATGAATTGCAACAAGGGGATAAGGAAACGAAATAAGTGCTAAGCTAAGTGTCGACTGTCTAGTACTCTTGATTATTCGGTCCTTCTATCGTTACCATAAAGAATGATCAAATCATGAATCCATCTATTTTTCTTGTACCTATTTTGATTGATCTTGAAGAAACAATCTGAAAAATACATGTAAGGAACAACATCTTACGTCCTATAGAATATAAAAATATAAAAAATAGAATAGAAATAAATTTTAAAGTTGTGCAATTTTTTTTTAGAATCTTTCAAATACTAAAATTGACATGTACAAAAATAAAAAGAATGCTACTTATAAGTCTTAATCGTTGTTTAGTTCATTATTATAGCGGTTGAGATTTCTATAAAAATGATAAATTGGTGGGGGCATGTCAATGGATGAGTCCCATTTTGTTGTCTTCATAATTAATGAGCGCGGTTTGTATAAGGTTGTAAACTTACTTGTAGAAATGAAATAGCAATATTCTACACCATCTACTTTATTTAGGTGGTGTAAATTTGATATGTTTTTCAAAACACTATTAATATACAACACATTTTTTGCTTATTAAAAAAATATATAATATGTTTTTTAAGATAGTATCTCATCTACACCATCTAAATAGAATAGATAATGTAGATTACTACAATCTTATTTATATAAAAAGTGTCGCTTCTATGAGGTTATAACTTTAAACAATCAAATTAAGGTGTACCTCCAAATTTTATCATAAATATAATTTTGGCGTAAAACAATTTTAGGATGTCTTGAGAATCTACTTTCATATCTAAATATAAGTTCTTAAACTCAATGGTTCAAATCAAGTAGATCTATAAACAATTGAAAATCTTGAAAATAACCGGTCTAGATAATTTGTTGCAAGATACACTATTTTTTAGACTATTTTTTATTTTATTTTTTCATATTCATATATCTCGATATTAAGATGATCAATTAGATGTTTTTTCAACATCAAAACAACCTTCTATGATGGATTTTTGAAGTGGATATTTAACTTTGAAGTGCATCTTTAAATTTACATTTTAAGTTCGCAACCTTATATAAATATCAAAACAACCTTCTATGCAAATAAAGTTCCAATCTTATACAAATTTCATACTAAAATTAATTAGGGCTGTAATCAGTTTTTGGGCTCCGTTCTCTTGCTCGATAAATATCAAGTTCCAATCTTGATATTTATCAAAACAACCTTATATAAATATCAAAACAAGCTTCTATGCAAATAAAGTTCCAATCTTGTACAAATTTCATACTAAAATTAATTAGGGCTGTAATCAGTTTTTGGGTTCCGTTTTCTTACTGGACAGATGTTGATAAAGCATTACGGTAGTGCAGCTGGATTAAACGGCACGTATAAATGTAAAATTCCAAGACAAAAATGGCACCCACACACTAATGTAGCCGTTTCTTTTTAGTTTTACCTTCCTTTCAAAAAAACAAAGAAAAAAAAAACAGAATAATTTAAGCACAGCTAGATAAGCTTTAGCATAGCGATTGTTGCATCTGCAGGAGTTTTGGATATGGAAGCTCTGAGGATTCCTTCTCTTGATACCACTAACTTCTGCATTTCCCCCTCAGCTGTAGGGAAAACCAGGAAACTTCGAGCTGGGTACCTTCTCCCAAAACTTTCCTCAGGACCTTTCCATGGTTCACTTCTCAGACCCCACAGAAGTCATTGTCCCCCAGTGAGTCCATCTCTCTCTTTCTCTCTAACCATAATCTTGGGTCTTCTTCTAACTCTGCATTTTCTTTGTTATTGTATTGTTCTGGGTGCCCTGTTTCACGTTTATGAATAAATGGATAAATGGGTATCTGGGTTCGAAACGTTGTGACGCAGTGCTTGATAAGGATGGAGGCGGATGACCCAGCGAAACAGATGAAGGAGATGGCTGACGCCAGAAAGAGATGGGACAAACTGGTAAGTTATATCTCCTTCATTAAATAAATCTTTGCAATTCGATGGATTGCCGTATAAGTTTTCGTAACGCTTACTTTGTTAGGTTGTTGATGTAATCTATTATTATCCCAGTGAACTTGTTTCTTGTAAATCTTGAGGCAAACTCTGTTTTTGGATCAAAAGCTCCTGATGGTTCTCATGACTCATTTTGGTATTTAACAGAAATATTGCTCCACTCATATTGGCCTCAATTTACTGTGCTCGGTACTGAATTTTGTGTAGAATGCCTTTTTTGCTTGGATGATATTAGACTATTTGTAGAAGATTTAGGCTTCTCTGTGGATATGGAAGCCATTGGATTATGAAGCTGATGCTGTTTAGTTGTAATCTTGTGATTTGTTATGTAATGCCTTAATTGATATGGGAAAAGAAGGAAAAACAAGGAAACCATTGGAAATTAGGAGGACAAGGTGCTAAAGCAGCGGCTATTGCCCATAGTTCATGGGCTTCATTTTGTCTTATATCGTACATATTGGTATAATGGTTTTACATGACCAATTTGTCCCTTGAGGTTTGGTTTTCGGTGTTCCTAATGAATTTGGGTGTACATAATAGCCACTTAATGTTTGGTTGTTTGTCGTTCCACTTGTGCGTGTGTACATTTTGAGTTCTGAGATTGGTTGCTGATATCCATTGTCTTGTCCTGGTTCCTTTTCATTCATCAGAATGCTGTTCAACCTTCTAGATGCTTAGTGGTTACCATCTTTACTTTTGTTTTGATTTCTGGCACTGCATCCTAATCTCAACAATCCTTGTGTAGGTCTTTTTTCTGTTCTGAATATAAGTTAAAAACTTAAAATGGTGAATCCTTAGGGTATAAGGAAATCAAAGCCAGGAGACAGAAATGTACCGGGACAAATATGACTAAAATACACATACAAGGTAGAAGATCTTGAAATTGATCTCATAACATGAACATCATTCACATATGTATCACCAGCACGCCGCCCATAAGAAGTAACAACAACAAAGATTACCTGTAAGAAAAAGTAACAAGCTTTAGACTTAATATCTACAGTACACCTAAATCACACCCATAAGAAGTAACAACAATAAAGATTACCTATAAGAAAAAGTAGCAAGCTTTAGATTTAATATCTACAGTACACCTAAATTATCCCGTGTATTTGAGTACAATCTACACGTGAGTACAATCTACACGTGGATAATATCTTGGTATGTTATGTCCAATCTTAAGCAAAGAAATTTATAAGCACCTAAGAAGATGTAAGCTTGGCCTTATCACAAATAAGGTCCTAAGTCATGCAAAGGAAGCTCGTCAATGTGTGAGATGGCAGCAAGACACACCTGTTGCTCCATATTGTCCCACAGACTCATGAAACCTCGGGCCAACATCCTGGGAATGACATGTGCCAACACCCTGAACTTGGTCAGAAGGTTGAAGCTAGAGTCCACCATGAGTGTACAGTCGTACTGACTCTTCAGGTATAAGTTTCATATGTTTCTCGTGTGTCTGTCTCTGCTTAGCCTCTATAATCTTGTATTGCTGCATATTCGTCGTGCTTATCGTTATCCACTCTCATAAATCTACATGTGTATATGTGAGTGTTGCCTGCTGTTGGCCATATAAGTGCATGCTTATTTTTTTGCTATGCATGTATTTTATATTTATAATTCTACCAACATAAATTAATCTTCACTGTAGGCAAGAGTACGCATATATTTTCCATAATGTGCCAAAGCCTGTCTGTGAGACTTTTTCTTAGGTATCCACATCTATATACAAATTCATATTTGTTTGTCTAAATAGTAATTCTCTTGCACTCGTCGTATTTGTAATCCCATTGATTTTTGTGGATCGCTTGTTTGCATCTTTCTGCATGTGAATTATTGTGTAGAGTTGTGTTTACATCAACGTCGGAGTCTCTTCAAAGAAGTTAAGCAATAGTTCTGGATTCCACCCTGTTTCTAATTGATGAAAGACAACCTAGTTTTTTTCATTTCAACTACATTGAAACTTTTACTGTAGATGATACACATGCTTATTATGTTTGCTTCAATTTTGGTTGAGTTAACAACTGATCAAGTAAAGATTTTGGCATTTGTATGATGTCTTCTCTTTGAAAAGACTTCCATGAAGTAAAAGTGTTCAAAAAACAAGAAATATGGTGTCAAAACCTTTTTTGTGGTGATCACTCTTGAAGCTTTAAAGCATTGCGGACGACACTCTTAGCAATAGTACTATGCATCCATCACAGGCTCGAGCTTTTCATCTTCTCTGTACTTTTCTTTGGCTGATATGGATTTCTATTTACAGATCCGGGAGGGAAAAGTTAAAGCCCTTACCCCAAGGGAAGCTGGTTATGCGATTCAACTTTCAAATAAATCCCTTCTTGATGTTCGGCCATCCATAGAGCACAAGAAGGTATCGAAAGAACCTTCCATTTGACTCCCTCTTGATTGAATTTTACAAGTAGATTTACAAATGTGGAAAGCCAATTACACCTTATAATATGGGTTTTTTTTTCCCTTTGAGTATGCTTAATTATTTGGATTTCAATGTTGAGAGTAAACGATGTGAATAACAAATAATCAATATCAGCAAAGTTTCAAAAAACGCTAGGCGGTTCTGAGGCGGCCTTCCGGGCGCCCAGCGCCTAGGCGGGCGCCCAGAACCTCGGGCGCCTTGTAGTTTTTTTCACTTTGGGGGTTTTCATATAATGAAGGTGGTTTTTTTTTTTTTTTTCTTTTTCACGTTTGGGGGGTGGGGGGGGGGGGGTTAAAAATAAACCCCATAACATTTTTATACAACTTTGGGGGTCAAAATGACCCCCTTTGCCCTTTTGGGAGATTTAAAAACACGAAAAAGGCCTTACGGTCCTGGGCGTCCGCCTGGGAGCCTGCCTAGGCGCTCGCCGAGCCTGCCCAACTGCATCCGCCCGTGTAGGGCCGCCTGGGTCTAGGCATGCGGAATTTTGGTCTAGGCCGCCTAGGCATCCGCCTCGAGGCCAGACGGACCGTTTTTTAAAATATTGAATATCGGTGTTTTAAAAATCTCCTAACTGGACCGAAACCGGCCGATCTAGTTTTGGAATCGGTCAGGTTGATTCGGTTCTGTGAATATATAGGGAACTGGCTGGTTCATTATATGACTTGGCCTATTTAGACCGATTCGTTGACAGAAACGGCTGGTTCTGTCAGAGAACCGGCAATCCCAATCGGGCAAACTGCCCAACACCTTTTTTTTTGTCTTTCAACTTTGGTTAAAATTTTTAGTTATGTGGGCCCACGTCCTTTGCATATTTTGGGTGGCGCCGTTCAACATAAAACCCACTTCTAACTCATTCCAGATTTGATTTGGAAATTTTACCATTGGGGCCCACATCCACAATGGAATTGGCCCGTCGTCTTACTCTACCCAACAGCCCACGATGAATTTTTATACTAGTTCGCTCCCCCTCAACATGTGAATATAATTGATGTGGGACAAATAGGTGCCCATCACCAAATCTTTTCAACAATTCAAGCATTACCAAGGATTAATAATTTACCCTTTTCATTGGGGAGGTCAAAATTTTCGTTTTTGGTAAAAAACGATAAAATTTACAGAGAGAAGAGGGAAGAAAATTTGGCTTCGCCCCATTACACCAAACTCTTTTTATAAATGAGATGGTGGGGGGAAAAAAGGGATCTTTTGATAATTAAGGAAAAATAAGAAAGAGTTCAAGTGTAATTGTAATGGTGAAACAAAAGTACTTTCCCATCATAAATTTGCAAATTATTAACCAATCCAATATCTCTTTTAATTAACCAATCAATTTTTTTTGTTATTTCGAATCCAATAGCGCCTCTTAATCTCCTAATCTCTTGGATTGGTTTTTTCTTTTTTCACTCTCTCTCACACATACTTTCTCTATCTTGAATCGGGTTTTTCTTATCTCTCTCTCTCTCTCTCTCTCGGATTGGGTTTTCGTTTTTTACTCTCACACATACACGCACACTATTTTCTTGGATTGGGTTCTTTTTTTTTTTTTACTTCTCTCTCTCTCATTTTTCATTCTCTCCTCCCTCTTTGTCTCAATTAGGCACGTGATTGTGCCTCGACTATAGACATAAATTAAATTTTATGTTGACCATAAAATGGATGTAATTGATAACAAACACTCAGACATGATATATGTTCTCAATATTGATGTATTTTAAGTAAAATAATAAAAATTATAATGCAATAGCATTATTGTTTTTGAAAACCTGAAAAGCTAGAATTTTAAGAAATTCTAGTCATTTTTTTAAATTGTTTTAACGTCTGATCTTGCTAATTCGGCCGATTCTCTGATCCGATCGGCAATCTACCGTTCCGACACAGTTTTTGGGGTGGCCGATCTAGATCACAGATCCATTTTTTTAGACCTTAACCAATATTGAGTTTGGTGTTGTTTATCTTTGGTAGAGAAACAAATCTAATTTTTTCCTTTAGTAATTCTTGCAATGTTTCATGACAATAATATTATGGTCATGGCTTCATCATTTGTTTTAGTTTGATGCATTTTGTTATTCCTCTTTTTTAATGTTCTAGTAACATTTGGCAGGCTTGGGTGAAAGGGTCCACTTGGATTCCCATATTTGATGTCGATAATAACTTGGAATTTGGAACTCTCTCCAAGAAGATCACAAATTTCGTCATGGGTATGCTTCACAGCTTTACCATGTAAATACCTAAGCATCTTGAACTAATTCCATGTATATGGTAGTTCCATGCTGCTTTGATCATTAAGAAGTTAATACCAAGGCTGATGTCTGTTGTTAAAATGTGACAGTTTTACATGCACAATTGGATAATTAATATTATGATTATAACTTATTACTATTGCAATGTTACCTCCATTTTCTTAGAAGTCACAAACATTGGGCCTTCACATCTAGTAACAAGTCTATAGGGGGAGATTTCCTTTTCATTATTTGGTTGCAGCTATTTGTTCGTGTTCATCATGTGAAATCGCAATGTTCTTGACAGTTAACAGTTTTTTAAATAAAAAATAGCAATATTCTTGACTAAACTCATACTTTTTAAGACTCATCTCCACACCAAAAATTTAAGTTTCAGGTTGTGCATAAGTTTCTCTCTGCCATGACTTTGTTACTTGGATTAATAATATTTGTCAAGTTTGTGAAAGAAGAGAGAAAAAGAACATTCAACCATAACATTGGCTAAAAATATACATGTCTATCTCATTGTTTTAATCATGGGGCAATGTGCCCTATATATATATACATGTATCCACGAGGGTTACAGCTATTAAAGAAGTCCAAATATAGTAGGGTACTATAGAAAGGACCTTAGTCAAGTTATCAAGTTTGATACAGATTGAGTTTCCAAGAATGTGAGGATCCTCACATTCTCTATGGTCAACTTTGGTACAAATTGAGTTTTGACCTAAACATCCTTACTCAAATCTTCATTAACCTTAACCCTAATTTTGGCCCATTAAATACATAAAGAAAATGAAAATAAACAAACTCATTAAAAGTAGAAACTCCTGAAACCCCTAACAACCTGTCCAAATCCTGCAATTTCGAAGAGAAAACTGTAATTCACCAATTTGACTGCTTTACCTTGAACCCTAGAAACCCTAGGTGCTCAAATCGTAACCCAGACCTCTGAAATCCCTCAACCCCTCTGAATTCAGTAAACCGTATTCCAATCTCTCCAAGACCACAAAAAACCTAAGCACCTCTCGTTCTCGAATATGGTGTACCATTAAGCAAATCTTAGACTACTGTAGGCACCCTCGCCCCTATGGCCTGACTCAAAGCCATGTTCCCTTACCTACTCAGTGCCTGCAACGTAGGAGTAGGAGGGGACGTGCGCTGGTATCCCATCAACAATAAACCTGGACTCGCTCTTCTCGAGTCGATCAAAGACTCAGCACTACTCCACTAATTCCATTTTTGAGTTAATCAAGGAGTCAGGACTACTCCACTAATTCCATTCAAACTTTGACAACTGAACATCTTTGGCTCAAGCACCTCAAGGACCAAGGGAATGATCCACTTGCACCACTTGTCTGATCTAGGTGCCACCTCATGGTGCCGGGCATGTGGGCCTAACTTCTATTCAAGTGGGCCATATTCATTACAATTTTCTTTGTCTCTTTCATTTTTCTGAGTTTCATATGCTTTATAAGGTTCAATTTCCATTTCTTGAAAGCCCTTCCCTAGACTTTCTTTTGACAAACTTCTAGCAGGTGCGGCCAGTGGACCACAAAAAGCAGGCCATGAGGTCGACCCTCTTGTGATTTGTAATTTGATGGAATCCTCTTTTTTCTACAATTTTCATTAATTGAATCTCATTTAGGTGAAAATCAAGGCATGAAGGTTTGATCTTTCTCACTTCAAGATTTTGTGTGCAAACACTTGGTATGTAATTTGTTTCTTGTTTTGGGTTGAAAATCATTGTATTTTCTTGATTAAAAATAGTGCACAGAAGCCCCTTGTAAGGTAGACTTCCAGTATTCGATCAAGGTGCTATGAAATTTAAAAATTTTATACTTGGCCAGATTTATCCTTGCTGTTCATACCTAGTTGGGGCGGGGCGAGGCGGCTGCCAAGCACTAGCAGCCGTTTGTTTAACGTTAGTATCTTCCATACCTTCGGACATGCCATGCCATTTTGTAAAATTCCATCTCATATCTTAAGTCTTAATCAGTCCACTCTATCTCTACAACCAACTTGTCGCCATTTAACTAGAAACTTATCCAATGCTTTCAGTTAATACGTTCATTCAGTTATGTCATTAGGAGTGCATCTAAGTGGCTGCAATGAAGTGTGCCTGCTCATCAGTAATAGCACCCGTCTTTAGTACCACACATAAATTGTGGGTTTCCTCATTGGGATCTTTTTGGGCAGAGAAACTTCAGTTTATCATACATATCACATGATGGTATAGCACTTAAAGTTGATGAAAAACCTTCTTCCCATAATGTCCACAGCAGTCAATGATGGATGCAGTGGTTCAAGTCAGATTTGGATCCTTCCTCTACTGCCAATAAGTGATCTAATACCCATTTTTTGGGTATCAGGGCCCTTGTCAAGTTCCTTGAATGCAAGTGTTTAACACATGAAGTAAACTGAGACTTTCAAACAACCCTTTTAATATATCTGAAGCAATGAATTATGTCCATAACTAGCCGTCTTCAATAGATGTAACCCAATTCTCTTAACGAAGCCTGCATTTTTCTCTTCATATGTTCTCATATTCTTTCATGGATGGTTTTTGTGCCTCAGGCCACTTGATGGGAGGAAATTATTTGCTATCCTGAAGACTTTTTACAAGTATCTCAGGATCATTTGAAGAAGTGCCTTTCTTTTAGTAGGACAGTAAAAGGAGAGCAGCCAATTCTTGTCATCATGTGAAATATATAGACTGATGTTTCTATGCTCTCAAATATACATACGAGGAAATACACAATTTACAAGGGGAATTAAGGATCCATGATGAGCAGGGGCACTTAATATATGAATATTTTACTTTAAATAACACAATACTGTTACTTACCTCAAAAAGAGTAACCAATACTTCATCTAGCTGTTGACCACCAATCCTATATGTTTATCTTGGACGCTCTTTGCAAAGATCAGGTGGCTGGATGACTGAAAATTGGTTCATTCCTTATTGATCATTCGTCAACATAATTGACTATTTATGATCCATAATTAGGAACTTCAAGGCGAGCCATGGGGACATTCTTGAGGCATAGGGCTGTCAATGAGCAAGACCTGGGCCAGACCAGTCTTAGCTCTAGCCCTGCCTTATTTCCTATAGGGCTGGTCCAAGCCTGGCCCGCCCCGAGATGGTCAGAAGTGGCCCTGGCCCAACCCTGCACTTGGGCTGGCCCAGCCTTGGTGGCCCCCCGGTCACATTTTGTGGCCTAGGCCCTAGTTTTTTAGGGCCGGGCTGGAGGTCTGCTCAGGCAGGAATTGGGGGTTAATTTTGTAGGGAAAAACAATGCTTTTAATCTGGTTGATGTACCATTTCAAATATCTCGAATTAATGAGAGCAGGATCCAAAGTAAACTAACGGTCCATTGCGTAAAAAAGAATAGGATTGTTGAGCAACATTATAGGAGGATGTTGGCTTGATATATTGCTCTGCATATGGCACCTTAAATTGTTGCCTCAAGGCCCTTGCGGCTAAAGTATAGAGCTAGGGGGAAGAAGTTCATCTTAATTCTGGACTTGGGAAACAATGAGGACCCTTAAGCTTTCTATGTAAGCTATTGAATCAAGATCACCAATAAATATTATCTTTATTTACCTTCTCAAAAAAAAAAAATTATTATCTTGATTTTTCTCTATTACTTTTGTTTGCAAAGCTCAAAGCCAAGATTTTGGCAAAGTGATTGAGGTCTGAGTTAGTAAATCAGAAGAAATAGTCACTAATTATCTCCATTTGTATCTTCACTATCTTTGTTTGGGAAGTGAAAGCCCAAACTTATGGCATATCAGTTAAGAGTAAATGAAGAATGACATAGTTGAGGATGCATAATTTCTTATGCCTTTGATTTTAATCGTTTGTTTTGGGCGTATTTTTTTTCTTTGTTTTGTCTTTTTGTGTAATCACTTGTAATCTTTTATTTAGATTTTTATCAAGAAGGTACATGATAATTTTGTGTGATTTATGTAGGTGGCTGGTGGAGTGGAGTTCCCGTCTTCTCCTATGACAAGTGAGTTTGGACTTGTCTTTTTGCATATCTTTCTAGTATTCCATGCTTTAACATCATGGCATTGTGTGCTTCATGCATCATGTTGTGTGATTATATGGTGATTGTTGTATTTCTACAGGCAGTTCATTTCTAAGGTAGAGAAAAAGTTCCCAAAAGATGCCGACCTTATTGTTGCATGCCAAAAGGGTCTGAGGTAAACAGTTTTGATTCTGAACTTTCCCCATAAGCACAACTATTTGTTTAATGAATACGTTACTGCATTAGTGAGATAAATTTGTTGTTTCTAAGTTTGTCTCTAAAATGCCAATTCCTTATTGTGAGGGCATACTGATTCTCGCATAACTTCTTGGAACAGTGCCTCATTGGTTGTCACATTAATGTGATGATGCGCAGTTTCCGGACTTCATGTCCATTGGCATGCAAGTTTCAAAGATGCCATCTAAAAGGGGTTGAAATTATCAATGACTTAAAAAGCAGATTGCTCAAGACCTAGGCGGTCCAGAAAGCCTGGGCTCATCGCCCAAGCCTAGGTGGCCAAATTAAGCGCTCGGGAACCCACCAAGGCAGGCGCCCAACAACCAACCCTTGGGCGG